AAAACACAAATTTGTTCGAAAAAAAAGAGAACAAAGACCCAAAAGATAAATAAAACTGGATTAACAAGCACAATGGGCCTTATTCCTATTAAGCCCATCGCAACGGCTCCAACAAGGCAACAACACTAAAAAAAATTCTTCATCTTTCTTATATAGTCAATATTATTCAGTGCAGATTCAGACTCGCTATGCACAAGAAAATGGAGTTGTCACCACTCAAATTACCGCAACTTTCTCTCTTCGTACGTATGATTTACTCTTTCTTTTCTTTTCTGATTGTTTTCCTCTTTCCTTTTCTTCCTTACCTTCGTAATTTCGTTCAAAGTTAGGGTTTTTTTTGATGTTCCTCTGCTCATCTCTTTGATGACCTATTTTGATTTCTTCCTGATTTTTTTTGTTTCGGCTGAAGTTTTAGCTTCTAGGGTCTTTCTTCGTTTAGGGTTTTGTTTCTTACATTTGCCTAAAATTTAACTCTGTTCCTCATTTATGATCTTCTAGAATGTGTTTATAGAATGTGTTTTGTTTCTGAAGAACGTTGATTCCTGCATTTACCTATTTTATTTTTCTCTTGTAATCGGATTTGCAGGTTCACTGTGAAGATTTGTTGTTGTTACTGTTGAGGATGGAGAAGACTTGTGGTGAGGATGAGCTAACACTCACTGTCACTAGACTCAACAGTGAGTCTAAGAGACGAAAAATCTGTAAGTCTTTGGAGAAATACAAAGCTGATTCAGCTGGGATATTGAGGAGTTTACAGGAACATCTTGATACACTTGAAACCGATATCGAAAAGAAGTCTCTGGAAGTTGAAACAAAGGAAAACAAGCTTCAAGGTCTGACCTTGAAATTGGGGAAAATCCAAAAGCAGATTAAAGTTGCAGAGATTGAGTCAGGTGACAAAGAAAAGGAACTTGATTTGCTAAAGAATCAGATCAAGTCAGAGGAAAACCAGCTTCAAGTTCTGAGCTTAAACTTGGGGAAAATCCAAAAGCAGATTGAGCAACAAACTAATGTAGTTGAAGCAAAGGCGCGGGAGATTAAAGCAATAGAGATTGAAGCAGGTGGCAAAAGAAAGGAACTTGATTTGCTAAGGAACCAGATCACGGCAGAGGAAATGGCACTCATTGAGCTTAAGAAATTAGTGCAGAATACTCAAAGGGAACTTGAGTTGAAGAAGAAAGAGTTAAGACAAACGAGCAGTGTGTTTGTTAAGCACGAGCAGCAGCCCGTTGCAGCAGAGACTGAGCAGTTTAGTGGAGATCCTCTCATGCGTTATGAAATCTCATCAGTTTCTCTTGGTCACCATGAGGTTTCCAATGTTCTTAGAGCTAAACCTGATCCAGGAAGATATGTTCTGAATCTAGTGGAGGGAGAAGTTAAGGATGCTCATCGCAAAAAAGAATCTGGTTTACGGGAGTTACTGGTGGAGAATTTGGTTGTATTTATTGAAGAGCTAGCAGAAATTAAAGGATGGGACCAGGCTCAACTGCAGCTCAAGGCGACACAGGTGGCTACTATTTGGAAAAGGTTGATAAGCATCGAAGCTCCAAGATCATCTCTCGAGGCTTTGGCTTTTTTGTTGTTCATTGTGGCATATGGATTAAAGAGTTTGATCAATGAAGAAGAGACTGCTCTACTTGTCACATCTGTTTCTCATTACAAACAGGGTCCAAAACTCTTTCATTCGCTTGGTCTTGAACTTAAGATCCCAGGTTAGTTTCTAAAACATTTCTGATACATAAAAACTGAGGGATGAAGCAAGGTCTTATGACTCTTTTTCTATCTTTTGCAGATTATGTGCTAGGTCTCATAAACAACCGCCATTATATTCCTGCAGTACGACTTGTATGTTTGTTCAAGCTTACAGACTTCCAACCCCAAACTCTCTTAATGAAAGAGGTCATCGATTTAAAACGCTCTGCCCTGGAAAAAGTAAGAACTGGTTCTCATGTTTTTAATCTTGGTCAATGATTGGTCATTGGCTTATATATGTTTTTGGTTCATCTTTTAGGCTGAGAACAAAGACGTTGGAAGATTGAGAGCCATCGTTGAACTTGCAGCAGATTATAAGCTTGACATTGATCTTCCAGCGGACCTTATTGCCAAACTCATGTTTCATAAAGAAAACTCAACACCACCTGTGCTTCATTGCGCTGTTGAAGCACCAAGCCCATCAGCAAATGGTGGGTCTTCAGGTTCAAGGGTGGGTCTTCAGGTTCCTAAGCGCGAGACTGAACCCTTCGTGATCCCATTAAAAAATGGTAGGTTTTAATGTCTGATACTCAATATGTATGAAGGCTCTAGTAGGAACCTAATTAGCTAGTGCTAGGTCTCTCTCTCACTTATCAATAGGCTTGTGCCAATTTGGTCTCTTTAGTTGTATCTACATAGTGAACGATCTTGCTTGTCTGTTTGATAAACTTGGTCCACTTTTGGTTCTTGTTATTATCTAAAGCTTGACTTTTATTCGAGAGGGTAAGTATTCATGTAGATGTCACTGTTCTTTGGGTGGTTTTATGGTAGCGTGTTGGAGAAGGTATATATACATATATGATTAGGGCTTTGCTTGCCATTCCAAACGTAAACGAAAAGAGTTCCCATTTGTGAGAGCTCCAAGCATTCAACCATTGAATCGAGACCGAGCCGGAGCCGCTTGAACCGAACCGAACCAAAACTAAAGCAATTGTAAGTATTTGAAACGACCTAATTGAACTAAATTTATTATCACTCATTTGTACACCAAGATTCACTAACTGTTTTTATAGAAATTTATTGGAAAAATACTCTTAAGAAACATCATTTTGAAAAAAATTTTGGACTCAAAACTTTTTTATTTTTGGTAAATGAATATAATTTTTTTTGTTGAATATTAAATGAAATTTCCCAAATTTATTAAGGAACATGTGATGAATTATTAATGTTCCAACGAAAAAGATATTTTTTTGCTGTTCAAAAAAAAAAATCTCTTTTTGTTCAACGAACCAAAAAAAGACATCAATTATTGATATTAATGTAGTGCAATGATTTTGACTTGACCTGGTTTTCAACTTTTTTTTTTTAAATACCGAACCGAAATCACAATGGACCAATCAAACTAAACCGGATAAAATTGATTTGATCTCGGTTTATTTACACCTGACAATGACATGAAGATGCCACGTAAACCAACATGATTCGTTTCTCTATTTAGTCCTTTTTTTTCTCGATTCGTCGTAACCAGTGAAGAAGCTCGAATCAAACAAAAGAGAGAGAACAAAAAAAAAAAAAAAATCAAAATCTCCGGTGATTCAGGAACCGTACGTCGGAGATTGTTAAACACGGTGAGGGAAAAAAGATGGCGGGACAATCACGAAAATGGATGATTCTCGTAGCGACGATCTGGATTCAAGCATTCACTGGTACGAATTTCGATTTCTCGACGTACTCGTCGAATTTGAAATCGGTTCTAGGGATTTCGCAAGTACAATTGAATTATCTCGCCGTTGCTTCGGATCTTGGGAAAGTTTTCGGTTGGTCATCGGGACTTGCACTTTTGTATTTCCCTCTTTGGACGGTTCTTTTCGCGGCGGCGATTATGGGTTTCGTTGGTTATGGTGTTCAATGGCTCGTCATCACTAACGTTATCTCTTTGCCTTATATTCTGGTAAAATAATTTCTCAACATTTTCTTTGTCTCTGTTTGCTTTAATCTTGAATCAATTTGTAAAAACCAAATCAGAAACTTCGAAGTTGAAAACTGTATTCAATTTCTTTAGCTTTATACGTAATTTATTAACTAATGTAGTTTAAATTACTTTATTGCTTTAATGATTATATAATCCATTCATTAAATTTTAATGTGTTACATTTTACTTTAGTGTTGTTTATAACTTTAATGATACATTTCTTCTTTTATACATAATTACATATAATTAGTTGTAGTTAAGTTAGAGAAATGTTTCAAGTTTATAGGTAGTTTAGTTCTACATATTATTAAAATTTGTATTTTTGTGATATAAATAGTTTCTTTTGGTTACTAATACTGAAATCAAGATTTGGAGGTTTGGAAGAAGAGTCGGTGAATGGTTGACTGGTTGGTCTCACGTGTTTTTCTTTGGCTTGGTTCTGCTTTGTCTTGGTTTGATGACTATCTCGAGAATCTTTATTGTTTCTTTGTGATCGGATCTTCGTTTTGTGTGTGTATAAATACTTTCTCTTTGTCGCCAATTCATTTAAATAGTGTTTTTTCTTGCAGAAAATGGCAGTTGGGTTTCTTTCTGAATTATTCTTTTTGATGAGTAGCTATTTGAGGATCTTTGTTATGTGGTAAATATAATATTGAATTTTCAGATAGAAAATGTTATGTCTATATGATATTAT